CTCTCCTCCCCTCCCTCCTCTACCCTCCTCCTCCCTCCTCCCTCCTCCTCCGCCTCCTCCTCCTCCTTCCTCCTTCTCCTTCTCCTCCTCCTCCTCCTCCTCCTCCTCCTCCTCCTCCTCCTCCTCCTCCTCATCCTCCAAGGATCACATGGGGGGCGGGTGATCACTCTGCCTCCGATCCCTTGCGTCCTGCTGCTTTCGGGCCTGAGGGCCTACCGTTGCGCATTGGCCCGCCCTCGGTCGTCGACCAGCTTTGGCTTGTATCTTATAGCGCAAACAAAAAAGAGGAGAGGGCAATGAGAAGGGTAATGCAGATGGGGCAGAAACCGCAGGATGGAGGACGGGAGCGAACAAGGGAGGGGGGCGGGAGGAAAGGGGACTGAAAGAGAGGGGGATTGATGACGGGGGGGGGGAGAGGAGGGAGGACAGTTGGAGATAGGAAGTAAAGATGGAACGAGGGAGGGACAGGGCAGGCGAGAGGAAGGGACGAAGGCATGCATGGTAGAAAAGGGTGGAGAGACAAAGGCGCGCAGGAAGAGGGGGACGCGGGGAGGGAAGGAGGGAGGGAGGCAGGAAGGAAAGGCGGCGGGAGTGCGGTGGCGGGAACCGAGGGAGGGAAGGGATGGGACGCGAGAGGGTGGGACAGACAGGGGTGCGAGGATGGAGGAGGGAGCCGAGAGCGGACGGGGGAAGGACGAGGGAGCAAAGCGGCGCCCTTCCCCATCGGTGGTGCCCCCCTCCCCCGGGCACCCCGGTGGCGGCAACACCGCGGGCCACGCTCCCGTCGGCGACAGCTGCTCCGGCATGAGGTCCTCCCCTTTCCCCGCCACTGCACCTCGATCTCGATCTCCATCCTGCACTGCGCCAGCGGCTCCGCAGCGCGAGGCAAGGGGCCCCAGGCACAGCTCCTCCTCGTCCCCCTCCTCTCGCCAGCGCGGGCCTGGATGTGGCTGTCCTGGCAACTGCCGGGGCGCGCTCGGGGAGCTTCTCACCCGGGTCAGTCCAGACCAGGGCCAGTGAGGCCTTACATGACCCTGCAAGATCCTGCACCCGAGCCTGGGTCAACGCGAAGGAGCCTCCAATATCCTGCGGGATCCTGCACCCGAGCCTGGACCAATGCGACCCTGGCACTGCAGGATCTTGCAAGATCTGGCGCTCTGGCCGACCCCCGTTTGCATTGACCCCCGTCTCAAGCCCCCCAAGACGTTCCGATTTTTTCGAGACACGGGCCCCCGACCTCCCAACCAGTTCCCCAGGACCCGTTCTTCATCCCGAGCCGATTTTTTAACGGTCCCGAGGCCTGGCGAGGGCCCCGGGAGGCCGAAAACGACGAGAAACCTCCGTCCCGATTTTTTCGAGACGCCCGACCTTCGCTTGCAGTGGCCCGCCGCCTCTCGAGCCCCGATGCCCTCGGCCTCCGGGGGCTCCAGGAGCGCGGGCGCCGCTGCGAGAGCGGGCGCCTCCTCCGCCTCCCCCGCTCCTCCTCCCCCGTCCCCCCCGCCCTCTCCTCGCCCTCCCGCTCCCTCCGCGGGAGAGGGAAGGGGCCGAGGGGGCCTCCAGCACGACCCCCCGACGGCTCCGGGGGCCTCCAGCACGCACCCCCCTCCCGCTCCCTCCGCGGGGGAGGGAAGGGCAGGGGGGCCTCCAGCACGCCCACCCCGACGGCACCGGGGGCCCTGTCCTCCCATCCCCCACTCGGGGGGGGGGGGGTGGCACTGCGCCCAGGACTCGCAAAGACGCAACAGTACCGTCCCAAAACCTCCTCGATGTAGGGCGACTGAATCAAGACATATCCGTTGCTCCCTGGCCAGGCCCATCCTGACCCGAGCAGCACTGTATAACGACGCCACGCCCCCCTGAGTTTGGCCAGCAGGGTATACACACAGCTCTTGGGCCCAAAAGGGCCTGGCCGGGGGGCAGTGGACAGGTATAGATTCCGTCGTCCGGCGATACTCGATCTCGATCCTCCCTCCTCCTCTTCCTCCTCCTCCTCCTCCTCGCCCTTCGACCTCCAAGCCGAGGTGGCGACCTGCTTGCTGGCGATCCCCCTCGGCGCTGCCCCCCCCCCCCCCCCCGGGCGCCCGTGTGCGCCCAGACCTGTCAAAACCTCCTCTGCAGGACAAGAGTTTCGCCGTGGGCCGCTTTGAGGGGAACAAGCAATGACATAAACATGACAATTCGAATGTTCGCGCGGATTCCTCGGATCGGCGTTGGGGCCCCCTGGCGGCGTCTCTGGCGCCGCACCTGGCGCGCTCCGCGCGCCAGGGAGGGGGTCCCCTGCGCCGATGCACGAGATCCGCGCGGACCTCCGAGCTGTCTTGCTATGTTTATGTCATCGTTGGGGGTCGAACAAGCACGAGGGTGAGTAGAAGGAGGCGGAGGAGGAGGAGGAGGAGGAGGAGGAGGAGAAGGAGGAGGAGGCCGAGGAGGACGAGGAGGAGGAGGAGGAGGAGGAGGGGGAGGAGGAGGAGGAGGAGGAGGAGAGGAGGAGGGGGAGGGAGGAGGAGGAGGAGGAGGAGGTAGACGACTCCCGAGGGAGGGGAGAGGAGGAGGAGGAGGAGGAGGAGGTCCCGCCCCGCACCCACAACGGACACCCCAGGGAGGTGCCCGCAGCGGCGGAAGTGGGCCCACACAGTGCCCGCTCCGCTGGCGCGCATCCGAGGCCAGCCTCACGCCCCAGAGGGTGCCTCATATTCAAAACACTCGCCCCTGGCAGCCTCGGCGCTGGCCCCGACAGCATCGAGGGCGCACGCCTCGCGTCCGAGCTCCTCCGCCCTAGCGCGCGAACGAAAACCGAAGGCCCACAAGACATCGCTTAGGGCCATTCGGGGGTATTCACCGCCTGTGGGCCTTCGCCTCGGGACCCTGCGGCGCCATCTCCTGGTCCTCCGCTGTCATCGTGCCGCGGACGCTTCGACACCAAGCGATCCCGCATCTCCCGAGCCTCCTGCCTGAGTCTCTGGATGTTCTCAGCGCTGGGTCCGATGGCAGCACGCACCGCCTTCTGGATCTCAACCGCAATACTGCTCTTGAGTGCCAGCCACCTCTGCTTATTGTCTTCGCCCACTTCCAAGTCGCGGAGGTCCAGCACATCCCCGTCAACAATCTCGACCGCATCGATTCCACTCTCGTCCCCGAGCAACTGCGACAGGTTGATCTGGGCGCCAGTCGGCACCTGCGAAGGCGAGCGCGACCGAGCTTCAGCCGACCCCACGCCCCTGGCCTTCTACAACTCGGCCTTGAGCTCCTCCTGCCGCTCAGACTTGGCCTGGACCGCCACCACTACCGCTTGCTGGGTCTTCTTGCTGCACTCTGCCAGCCACTTGCGGGCCTCGTCCTCCTGGTGAACCGCCTGCTCCAGGGCCTTCTCCGCCCGCCTGCACGCCACCCCTTTCGCACTGATGGTCTCCTCCAGCAGCGGCGCGCGTGCAAGCTGCGCAGGCTGTGCCACCGCCTGCACCAAAGCCTGCAACTCCCGTGCACCCGCCGCCTCGCCGACTTGTTCCTGCAGCTGCGACAGCAGCGCGGAGACCGACTGCTTGCTCGCGCCTTTCTGCGGCGGCGTCGACGCCTTGGGGGCTTCCAGGCGGGGCGGCGCCCAAGAGCCTGGCGGTTGGGCAGGCTGCCCTCCACCATTGCCTGGCGCCCAGACACCTTGTGCCCGCTGCTGGTGCCATGGCGGCGTGGTGGGCACAAGGGCTGCTCCACACATGAAACACTCCGACCGCGACCTCCAGTTCCAGCGATGGCGGCAGGACGAACCCGAGAGGTGGCCCTTGTTGGCATCCTTGCCCATGGGCCCCACCAGGAGCTCACCGTCGCAAAGGGAGAAACGGGCCAGTGGGCCCCACGTACGGTGACGGATGGCCAGTGAGGCCACGTGTGTAAGAAAGAAAGCCTGGACGCTGGCCCAGGGATCACTGGTGGGGGCGCACCTCCCCCTTGCCACACCCAAATCTTCGGAAAGGCGTGGGCCCCAACCGTAAGCTCCAGCGGTCTATTGATTGTGTGATTCCTGCCGACCGAGTTGCGCCCACACGTCGCGCCCCTCGGAGAGAGACAACCAGTGTCTCCACTCGGCTTAATCCAGCCTCAGCGTACCAGTACGAATCGAGGCTTGCGGCGCTCCAGGAGAGAGTGCGCCAGCGGGAGCTGGCAAGATCGTTGGAGGGCTCAGCAGGTGGCGCAAGCGGTAATGGGTAAGTTAGTACCCTAAGAGCGCCGCCCTGCTGGGCCGAGTCGTTAGTCACGTGACTGGTCCGCCTCGGCGTGCTTCTTCTTCTTCTTCTTCTTCTTCGGAGCCTCCCGCTACGGACTTGAGCCAAAATGGCTACGGAGCAGGAAGAGGAGGAGGAGGAGGAGGAGGAGGAGGAGGAGGAGGAGCAGGAGGAGGAGGAGGAGAAGGAGGAGGAGGAGGAGGAGGAGGAGGAGGAGGAGGAGGAGGAGGAGGAGCAGCAGCAGCAGCAGCAGCAGCAGCAGCAGCAGGGAGGCGCCCTGCAGCCCCCGCCCGGCCCCGCCGGGGGCAGCGGGGGCACCAGCGGCGTGGACCTCGGCGGCCGGCTCGGGGAGCTGCGGCCGTCGGCCGTGGGGTTGATGTACTGCATGGGCGGCGGCGGGAGGTCCACCATGGCGAGGTCCTCCGCCCCCCCGTGATCGATCGGCCACGGACTCAGACCCCCACCATTAAAGTAGGGCGACGATATCTATACATATCCACTGCTCCTGGCCAGGCCAATCCTGGGCCCAAGAGCTGTGTCTACGCCCTCCTGGCTTGGCCAGGGAGGCATATACACCGCTCCTGGGCCCAGGATGGGCCTGGCCGGGAGCAGTGGATATGCATATATATATATATATATATATATATATATATATATATCGTCGCCCTATAAAGCACCCGTCCTGGGGACGTACACCCGTCGCAGCCTGGAGGCAACGGCTTACATCCACAGCGAGAGGGGGAGTCTTTGGCCCGTGGGCAGTGAAAACATCATGGCGGGAGGCTTTTCGATATCTTCGGCCTCCAGGGACCCTGTACCGGCCCTCGGGGCCGTCCGGGAACGACTCGGGATGAGAAGGCGGCCCCGGGGAAAGGGTCGAGACCTCCAGGGGTCGACGCCATGAAAAAATCGTGGCGTCGGGGGGGTCTGGGGATCGGGCCGAGCAGCAGGCCCCGAGATCCCAGGCGTGGCCAGCTTCTCGAGCCACGGGCGTTGGCGCCCCGTCTCGGGCCCCGGGGCCCTCACGGATCGATCTGGCTCGAAGACTGGCGCAGAAAGACTGGGCCCCCTCGCGATGTGAAGAGAGCACGACGTGAGGCTTTCCTCCGCGTTCGGAATCTACGAACACGTTCGGAAACCTTCTCTTGCACCCCTGAGATCCGACGTCGTGTTTTTTTCAATGCGGGGCCCCCGGAAGTCTCGACGCATTCCCCAGGACCGGCTTCTCATCCTGAGGCGTTTTTTTTGAAGGTCCCGAGGCCCGGCGAGGGCCCTACATTGAGCAGGGACCGACCGTCCCGGCATTCCTATAGTCCGACCACGAAATGTTCTTAGAACCCCAAAAATGTTCTAAGAACAAAAATCATGTTCTTAGAACATAAACCTGATGTGGTAAAACAAGACAGACTCCGCCAGAAATGTTCTAAGAACATTTCGTGGGAACCACAAAAGGTTCTTATAACATTGCTTGCTAGGGCTATAGGCGAGCCAGGACGCTTCGCCACTGCTCGACTACAGGGGCTCAGCTCTGCGAAAAACCTCCGTCGCCTCGGTTCTTTCCATGCGTTGCACCTCTGGGACGGCGACGGCGACGGCGGCGGCGGCGGCGGCGACTAGGGGGCCAAATGCGAACCCTACCCCTGCCCCCCACATTTCTGAGGGGGAGGGTGGGGTTCACTTCGCTCGGGAGCTCCCAGACGAAGTGAACCCCGCCCTCCCCCTCAGAAATCGTGGGGGGCAGGGGTAGGGTTCGCATTTGGCCCCCTAGCGACGGCGACGGCCCAGCCCCTCCAGGGGTGCCGGGGGCATCGGCGTGTTCTGCAGCGCCCGCCCAGTGTCCTCCAGCGCCTCCACGCTCTGCAGCCTCCCCGGGCGCGCCCGTGCCGAGCGCCGGGCGCCGGCCGCCGGCTGCCCGATCGGCTCCGCCGCCGGGGGCCGAGGCTCGAGTTTTTCGAGGCTCGAAGCGCTTCCTGCCTCAGACCTCCGCGCGTTCTGACAAAAATCGTGACGGGAGGTTTTTCGCTATGTTCGGTCTCCAGGGGCTCTCATTGGGCCTCGGGACAGTCAGAAAATGACGCAGGATGCAAAGCAGGTCCCCCGGGAAGGGGTCCAGACTTCTGAGGGTCACGTCGTGCAAAAATCACGACGTCGGGGCGTTGGAAATCATTTCTTTATTGCTTGGGGCATGACGGGCGTCATGGCCCCCGCCCCCCCCCCCCTTATAACGCAACGCACCCCCCCAGTGCGCTCCGGGCACTGCCGCCGTGTGCGTCGGGATCCGCATAGGTGTCCGCATAGGAGTCTGGTCTGCATTGGGAATCTCCATGGGGGTCCGCACAGGGATGCGCATGCGCATCCGCATAGGGATCCGCATGCATAGGGGCAAGGATCCGCATAAGGATTCGCATGGACATGCGCATGGGCATATGCGTCCGCATCGGGATCCGCGTAAGCATCCGCGCAGGGACCTGCATATGGATCCGGGACCCGTGCTGGGATCCGCACAGGGATCCGAAGTTGTGATTTTGTGTTCCCAGTGAAAACTCTTCCTCTTCCTTCTCCTCCTCTCTCCCCTCCTCTTCCTCCTCCTCCACCTCCTCTTCCTCCTCGCTCTTTCTCCTCCTTCCCCTCTTCCTCCGCATCGCCATTTCCGGGTCATTTCCTCGAGCGCGTGTTTAGAGGTTGCCCGCCATTTTTCCGCAGTCTGCCAGTGCAAGGGCCATTTGGAGCAGAGAGTGGGGACATAATGTTCTCACACCGTTGCAAGAAGGAGCGGACAAACTCGCTGAACAATCTCACATTTGTACCGATGGACTATGTTATTATCGGCATCATGTTCCTGCTGTTGCCGCTCCTCCTGCCCCCCTCACGCGTGCTGCAGCGCCGACCCGCAAGGCAGGGGGGAAGGCGATGGAAGAGGAGGAGGAGGAGGAGGAGGCGGAGGCGGAAGAGGAGGAGGAGGAGGAGGAGGAGGAGGAGGAGGAGGAGGAGGAGGAGCTGGAGAAGGAGGAGGAGGAGGATGGGGAGGAGGAGCTGGAGAAGGAGGAGGAGGAAGAGGAGGAGGAAGAGGAGGGAGGAGTAGGAATATCAGGAGAAGGAGCAGGAAAAGGAGGAGGAGGAGGAGGAGGAGGAGGAGGAGGAGGAGGAGGAGGAGGAGGAGGGAGGAGGAAAGAACGTCGCAGTCGATTATCAGCACTGCCCAGGCGTGGCGTTTAGCTGTCCGCAGCAAATCCTCACCTACATGCTCGTTCTACCTGTCCTCAGCGCTGCGTGCACGCGGATGCTGTGGTGTAGACAGGCGCTGTGTTGCATATGGCTGCTGCGGTGTGCGCATTCGCTGTGGTGTACACTGGCGCTGTAGTGCACGCGAGCACTGGTGTACACAGGGGCTGCGTCGCGCACGGTTGCTGCGGCGTGCGCAGGCGCTGTGATGCACACGCGCGCTGTGATCCACGCGAGCTTCGTGGTGTATACAAGCGCTGTGGGGCAAGTCGCCACCTGCATGCTGCTCGCGTCGCTGTCGTTGTCGTCGCTCGTCGCTCATCGTCGTCGCGCGCGCGGGCGCGGCTGTGGTGCCGGAGCCGCAGGGCGTTACGTCATACCCCCCCCCGCCGCCCCCCCCCATGACGCCTGTCATTTCCGAACATAAAGAAACACTCTCTTGGGGGTCTGGGGGGGATCTTCGTGCCCCTGCTCCTGTTCCTCCTCATCCTCCTCCGCCTCCTGCTCCTTCGCCATGTGGCCGATTCTGCAAACCCTGAACCGAAAATCGTGTCATCTTTTGGGAAGTCGACCTTTGTTTCTGCCGGCTTCCGCCTTCCGCCTGCGGAGGCTGCCTCGTTATACTTCCTTTTTTTTGTGACGCTACTCCCATTCCCAAGGAAGTTTTGCGAGGGCAATCTGCAAGAAAACTACCGCAGGAAACGCGGCGCTACCGATCGTATCGTATCGGAGGAGCCCTGAGACACAACACCAACGGAAACGCATGGGCGGTGGCCGCTGGGCCGTTGCCCCGCGCCTCACGCTCCCCTGCCTCTGCAGGGGAGGCACAGTGAAGGCGGCTCCCCCCTCCCCCTGGTGGAGAGAGGCGCAACCCCCACACAAGCGAGGCCCCAAAACTGGCCACAGGCATCCAAGCTCGCTGAGAGTTTACTGAGCGGGATCCCTGGGCTGCAACCTGAAAAAGCTCGTGAGAGTTCTCTGACCTAGCGGAGGGCGGGAGAGAGGGCGAGGCGTCACCGTCGTCGGAGGCGTCAACGTCGTCGGAGGACGAGGGAGGAGGGCTAGGCAGGATTCCCGAGCCTCATCTGGCATGGCTGCTCCTGCTCTCACCTGCGCTTCTGCTTCTTCATGCCGCTGCTGGCGGTGCCGCTGCCCGAGCGGAACGCCACGTTCCCTACCAGTTTGGCTGCCTAGGACCTCGTCGCGATGTTGAACTGGAGTGAGGTGCCCGCGGCGGCCATGGCTCCGATGGTCCGCAGCTTGTTGAGCGCTGCCTTGCACTCTGGGTAGTGATTCACCTTGAGGATCCACCATGACTCGCCCTCCCCGTAGCTGTCGCCCTCCTCGTTGCTGTCGCGGCTGACCTGGATCCGAAGACAGCGCGTGGCCACGAACTTCACCTCGGTGTTCTGCGCCTGCTTGCCCATCTGCAACAGCACCTCCAGCGCTGCAAGCGCTGCCTCGGGCACGGCCCTTTGCGACACCGCCTCCGTCACCTGCTGCCTCTTGAGGAGCACCACCTCCATGATGCGAAAGACCTCGGCGTGGGCCAGCGCGTCGGGCCGCTTGCCCCACAGGTAGCCCAAAAACAGGCTGCCCTGCTCGCTCACCTTCTCCTTGTCCACGCGACCCTCGTCCTCGTAAGTCGTGATGGCCCGCTCCAGCGCGTTCGTCAGGGCGTACTGCGGCTTGAGAGCCATCACGAAGTTGTCGTCTCGGTGACCCGCTCGTGCGAGGTCCTCGTGCAGGAGGGCGGGTCTGGCGCGTGCCTTGGCCGGCGGTCCCGCGACGTCGTTGCCCTCGCCCTGGTCCTCCAAGTTCGGGGCCGCCGCGCGCTTCAGGCTGGCTGCCACCTGCTCCTCCTTGATCGGCTGGAACATGTCTGGCAGGGACTGGAGGTGATGCCGCAAGCTCAAGTCGAGAATCTGCTTGAGCCTGAACGCCAGCGAGGACGGAGCAACGGCCAAGCTTGGCATGGCGGATCAGCGTGTCCTTGCGAGTGAAGAGTTTCGCACAGCGAGGGCAACGCTTCTGTTGAAGATCAACATCCGAAAGGAGGTCGGCCGTAGGATTCGCATAGATGTTGTGAGCTGCATGTTTATGATTGGCGAGGCCCTTCTCTCCATTGCAATTTTGTCCACACACATCGCACTGAATCCAGACAACAGCAACGGGTTCGCCTGCTGCGACCTCGCCAAAAGTGAGAACACGGCGAAACCAGCGTTGCTCAGAGGAGGCCAGCCAGCGAAGCCACGGCTCAGCAAGGTCAGGTAGGTCTCCATGAAGGAGGAAGAGGCGGCGGGCCTCCAGCTGTTCGCGTGCCTCCACGGTGTTCCATAGCAGGCGCATGTCGGCCTTCAACTGTGCAAGGAGACCGTGGGGCTCTCGTGGGCCTGGGGGCTCGAAGGAGAAACGGCCGAAGATGACGGCGCGAACCGCCAGCGTGGCGTCGTAGAGGTCAGGTGTGGGCCCGCGAAAGACTGGCCATAGGACCTGTCGCCACCATTTAAGTCGTCGATGCAGTAGTGTGCTCTCCACTGTCGGAACGCGGGCCTTCCTCCTGATCTCGCGGTTGGTGAGCTTGTTGATGTGGGCTGGGGAGTGGAGGAGCCCTCTGAGTTTCCGAACTTGCCAGGACTCCAAGCGGAGGAGCTCACGCTTGGACATCACAGCGACTTCCAACGCATATACGCCAACTGACCGAACCAACGCCTTCCACAAGCGTATCTTCATCTTCGGGCTGAACCCCCCCCTGGAAAGCACGTCGGAGGAGTCGAGAGAGAGCTTGGTTGGCGCTCTGAAGCCTATGGGTAATCTCCGTCTGGTAGCTGCCTGGCGCCGCCATGCGAACGCCTAGGTACTTGACCGTCGGCTGCGGGTGCACGGCGTGGGCCTCATCATCCTGCCAGGTCACGATGCCCGTGGAGTGTGAGTTGATAGTCTTCTGGCGTCTCTTACTGCCCGTGCCGCTGGGGATGAGGAGAAGCTCAGTCTTGTTCGCGTTGACCTTCATGCCACCGTAGGAAATCTCGCCGTTCACTAAGTCAAGCAGCTGGGTCGCCTCGTCAAAGTTGTTCACCTCACCAAACGTCAGCAGGTCGTCTAAGAACTTGAGGTGGGTGACGTCCAGGCACTCGCAGGAGTCGTTCGGCAGCGGGTCCGAGGTGCGAATCTTCTTGAGGCTAGGGTCAAAGTAAACGAAGATCCCAGGAAACTCATTCTCACGCTGACGTTCTGCCACCTCGGCCACTAGCTTGTCATAAGCAGCGACAAAGAGACCAGGGCTTTCCACCCCTCCCTGGCGGACGCCGCGCTGAACTTGAATGCGGGGGCAGGGCAGGCGAGTGCGCGCGTCACGATAGAGGTAGCACATGCCGTCGTGGAGTTCCTCCAGCGTCTCACGTGCATCAAGCCGTAGTTGGAGAGACTCCAGGCTGTCCCAAATGGACTGCCGTGCGATGATGTCGAAGGCCTTCTCCAAGTCCGTAAGGATGACCAGTAGCATAGGTGGAGGATCCGTGGCGCGTCCGCGTGCTCGAACTCGATGGGCTTGCTGATGACGCGTGATGACCTCCAACGCAACCGAAATTGCGTCCCGAGTGCCACGGCCAGGCATGGCGCCGAACTGGGTCGGGGAGATCC